TTATGAATGATTGGCCTTACCTTAGGCTTTCTCCCACTATCTTTTATAACTTAATTTAACCTGTTTCTCTTCATCTATGTTTTGCCTTGGGACTCTTTGCTTTTCTTTCATTTTTATGTCCTACTTCCCGTTTCTTCCATGTCTGTCTGTCTGGCCCCTGGCATTTCTATGGTATCTCCTTTTCACTCTTCTCTTTCTCTCCTGAGTCTAGGTTCCTCCTCATACATATTCTCCCTGCCTGGAAGTCCTGCATATACCTCCTTCATTGCTATTGGCCATTCAGATGCCTTAGGTAGGAAAGGTTAACAGCAACACGTCTTTGCATAGTTGAATATTCTGCAACACACAAGCAAGCTTGCCCACAGATATACATAAAAATAAACAAATCTTTGAACTGTGACCCATATTGCAGTCTGCACAGCTATTATTAAGGGGTAGGACTGTTGCATAGTCAGAAAATATAAACAGGAGGCATCATGGAGATTCAGAATTCAGGGTCCCAGTCACATGTTCAATTACACAGCTGGAGTATGTGTGCAGAATGGCTGGAGAAAGAGTTGACAAACTCTGGATTTTGGTACATATCTGAGTGCTTGATGAATAAGTACCATGGCTCACTTTTATGTGAGAATTTGAAACCCTGCTATAGTGGAAAATTACCAATATGGAGTCAGGTAGAAATATAAGGGTATTTAATAGGGAAAAGCCTTACTTACAGAGCGACCTAGCCAGCCGGCATGGCAGCAGTCTGTCCAGCAAGTACCAAAGTGAAACTGAATGAGAAACGCAGTCACTCTATGTCACCCTGACCTCGAAAGTGTGATCAGGCACACCTGTAGCCAGCCCCTAAGTATGGGTGGCTACAGCTTCCCCTATAATTCCCTTTTTAGTCTAAAAGAGGATTAAAACTTAACAGTGTAAAGTATCCAAAATTAACAATCATAAAGGTAAAATATAAGAAGATACAACAATCTGCTTATGTCACATCCTAAATATCTGTCACACCCTAAAGTCATCTGAAAGAGGTATCCAAGCCTGAACACCTCCTTCCAATCCCAACCATAAACAATAGGAAGCTATCCCTAACTAGGTATATACACTATCCTAAATGACAACAATGGGGGAAGGGGGCGGAGCATCCTCCAAGTTATTTCCTGCTGAAATGGGACGACGACAGCCTTGTGGGGTCCTGTAGGAAGAAAATGTTAGTACAGTGAAAGTCTTGAATGGATTGTATCCAGTCCATGCTGCTAGCCGGGAGCACCTGTGGAGAGAGGGCGAGAGCAACCTAGCCAGCCGTCGTGGCAGCAGTCTGTACTGCAAGTACAAAAGTGAAACTGAAAGAGAAACACAGTCACTCTAAGTCACCCTGACCACGCCCTTGCAAACATGGTCAGGCACACCTGTAACCAGCCCCTAAGTAGGCGTGGCTACAGCTTCCCCTACACCCTGCCATTATAGGCACAGCAAAAATTTGAGTTGAGATCATTTTATCTGTTTTTGTTTTCAGTTGCCCAGAATGTTATCAAGGTTAAAGATCAGACCATGTATTTTTTTCACTTTTAGACTCATGCTCCAGTCTATGGTATTTTACAATATAGAAGAGGTGTCCTTGGCTGAGACCATAAAGGAAAAGGAAAGCTGTTTGGTTAAGTTGACTTTTCCAAAGGATCCCATGCCAGCTTTCCATCACTGTGACAAAATACCTGAACAATTGAACTGGGAGGTTGATTTGGTTATGGTCAATTGGCTTCAATACTATTGAGCCTGTGGCAAGAGAGAACATTATGGTGAGGAGTGTGTGATAGAGCAAAGTAGGTCAACTCATTGTAGCCAGAAAGCAGAGAATGTGAGGGTGGAATGATAGTTTCAAGACAATGACACAAATGGTTCCACAGAGCTAAGGCTGACAACCAAGTCTTTAATACACTGAGCTTTGAGAGTAATTTCAGATACAAAACATAGCACATCACACCTGTGTTCTGAGACTGATAAATATATACAGTTTAGTACTGCTTTGGGAAACCCAAGCCTCACATATCAGCACCCATACTATGAAAGTTACATAGAGATATTCGTGGTGTTGTTTTCTTTCATGATTCAGCTACCAGAATTGTGTGTATTGAGTGTGTTTGTGTGTATGTGTATATGTGTTTGTTTCTGTGAATGTGTGCATTGTATATGTGTTTGTGTACGTATATGTGTTGCAATGTGTTGTGCATGTGTTTGCGCGTTTGTGTGCATATGTGTTGCTGTGTGTGTTAGTGTGTATGTGTTGTGTGTATGTGTATGCATGTGTTTTTGTGTGTGGTGTGTGTATGTTTATGCATGTGTTTGTGTATATTTATATGCATGTTTTTGTGTTTGTATGTATGTGTGTTTATGTGTATAAATGTGTGTGTGTGAGTGTGTGTGTGTGTGTGTGTGTGTGTGTGTGTACTTTGTTGTTGTTCCAAGTTTCCTCCAACAGAAACAGCAGCTCTTTGGAGTCTATGGATGATGTATGCAAAGTGGTCAGAGGAGAATTTCTCTACTGTTCATTAATCAAACTGTCCTTGTTCTCTGCTTTAAAACATTTCATCACAGGTTTATATTTATAAAACTTGAAAAGCACTGAAATGAAAATCAAACAAGAAATCAAAAGGTGAAGGACTTGTTTTGGGGCTTGACAGAGACAATAGAGAGCTTTATGTTTTCTGAAAGAACTCAAAAATCTAAATTTTATGAAAAAAATAATTACTGATCTTTAAAGGGCAAGAAATATCTAAGGAGCCTTTGTAAGTGTTTGGGAGAGAAAGATGCTTTGTAACTCTGAGAAGGTGAATATAAAGCATAGCAATGAAGAGGTTACATAATAACTAAGTGATTAATATTTTCATACATTTCAGATTTTAAGGTTTGTTTTCACCACAAAAGAGAATCACCTTTCTAAACTTAGTATGCATATGTGAATTTATAACATCTTTCCAGATACAATTTAACAAGAGTGACATTTTCTTGAATTTATTATGTTTTTTCTTTACTCTTCTCTTCCTCTCTCTCATCTCCTCTCTCCCCTCTTTTTTCTCTTCTTTTTAGAGATAGGCTAATAAAAGTGGTTGTAAAGTTTTTATATCTCTGAAACAATTTTACTTTAGTAATGAGTGGAATCATGTAGTTTCTGACTATAAGTTATTTACTTATCCTTCTTTCAGATGAAAAACAAAGTAATAATATATTATTATGGTATAATCTAATTGATAAAATTTAAAATAGTCATGAAAATATCAAAAAGATTCTATCTTTGAGCATACATCATTTCTAGATGTTAAGTTGTTTTCTCTCATTATCCTGAAAGCTGGTGCTGCGTAATGTCTTTGTCAGTTCCATAAGGATGATCCTTCTGTCTAATTCTTGTCATGGATGCAGAAATCTTTTAGAAGACTTGAATTTGCTGGTTTGAGAATGAGACATTTGGGGAATTCAGAACTATGTCTGTAGATTATAGTTCTCACTGTGTTAGCATGGGAAGCTGAGTCAGATCCCAGCATCCACATACAAGGCCAGATACAGCCAGCACTGGGAGGCAGGAGAAGAGATAGGAGGATGGCTGGGACTTATGTCTTCTAAACTTACCTTCAGTGTCAATAAAGACACTGTCTCAAACTCAGACAGGGAGTGATAAATCAAGATACCTGATGTTCCCCTCTGTCCTCTGAGAGCACATGGAGAGGTGGACCATTTCACACACATGAACGTATAATACATGTACATATCACATGCACATATACATACATGAACTTGCATCCAAAATAAAGAATGTCATTTGGAATCAAGATTTCTGATAAAAACATATAATATTCATAAGAATAATGCTCAGAGACTTACTTTGAGATGGTTACAGAGGGATGGTGTACATATTCTCATTTCAAAGTTCAGTGAAGAAATTTCATCTTTATTCAAGTAGCAAATGAGATATGTTATTCCTATAGAATGTTAAAGATTTGAAAGACCTTTTCCATTTTATGCTGAGGGGACTGAATCCCTGTACTATGCTAACAATTGCTTACAATCTGATGTGTTCATTTCAATATCAACTAGTAATTTTAATTGGTTCTATTGGTAAACTGGAGCTGACTCACTCTACATACTAAAGTTGCACTGCCCTTTAAGCTTTGGTATATGAGTGTTATAATGTTGCCATGGCCCAGTCGCAATTGAAAGAGCATTCTGCCCTCAAATGTATGCTTTGGGAGTTGTGTTGTGAGTTTGGGATTCATGAAGAAATATCACATATACTGTTAATGTATGACCCTTCCCTCTGATCCTGAGTCTTTGGTTGTATGACGTAGTTACTTTTTAAACACTGGCCACCTATTCTAAATAGTATGTCTTTCCAGTGTTAAGGATCTGCTTCTGATAATACATGGGTTCAAGAAAGTGTGATATTAACATATTGACATTTGAAGATATATGTACAATATTTATTTTATAGATCTGAAATCAAAGAAATAAACCTTTCTGCTATATAAAAATTTTAACTAGTTTGGCCTTTGAGAAGAATTTTAAGTATTTATGAAATAACATGTATGTTGTCACTTACCTAAGTACATAAAGCTACAAGTGATCAGAGAAAGCTTACAAATGTGTTCCAAGTGTATTTTATGTATATGCACTTACATTTTCATCTATATTTATAGATGTGTATGTTTTAAAAACATTTAAAGACAAAGAAATGAATAGGTATTGAATAAGCACCATTGTTGCATTCATTAATTGAATTTTCAGGTACATTTATCAAATTTAACAAAAATTATGAGATCCATAATTTAACACTAAAATATGATGTAAGACAACACAATTTTTAAAAATTCAAGTTCACTAATGGATTCTGATGAGCAGGATTTTATATATGAAATGGATAAGCAAAATGTGGCCCTGATTGAAGGTTTTCTTTCTGAGCTTTCCATGATACACAATTGCTTTTAATTTAACTCCTGCCATTCTTTCTTCTTGCCCAGTGTTAAAGAATCCCGTGTGTAAGCTATATAGATTCCCCACATCTGACAATAAATGGATGCGGATCCGTGAGCAGATGTCAGAGAGCATTCTTTCTTTTCATATTCCTAAGGAATTGATTTCCCTTCACATAAAAGAAGACTTGTGTAGGTAAGAGAAATTGATCATCTCTCACATTTCTTTTCTGTGTTTTATCTAAAGTTCTATATGATAGATATTTAATATTTTATGTTGTTTGAAGAACTCAAATTGAGAAATTACATTGATTAATTAGCACATACGTTACCTCACATACCTGCTGATGATGTTAAATAAAGTTGACCTCAACTGCCTTTTTATTTTTATTTTTGCTTTTCCAATATGTATAATATAAAATTTTAAATTGTGGGTCTCTGAAGATAGATTGAGTGCTTTCTGTGAAGCATGGGACCTGTCTGGAGTCCCTGGTAGACAACTGGAAAAGCAGGTAGCACTGGTTGGAAATTCCAGTTCTGGAGAGGCAGATACTGAGAATTACTAGAGCTTGAGGACCAGCCTGGCTTGCTACCTGGTGAAGCTCCAGGTTCTGCAAGAGATTCTGTCTCTAAAGAAAAAGTGGAAGTTGACAGAAGAAAGCACAAAGTATAGACCTTTGCTCATCGTCACATGAATATATGTTCAAATACAGGGGTACAATACTCCACGCACATACAAATTGCATATATAATTCACTTTTGTATTTTGACTTGCATTTCTTGTGCAAAGCTTTGTAGTGAACCAATGCTACAAACTCTGACCAATGTCATTACCTTGTCTGTTTAGGATTACTCTTTGTTTGGTTCCTATTTGAATTAAAGAAGAGTGGCCTTGTCTATCAACTATGTAACTAAGCAAGGCTTTCAATACTTGTTGGTCCAAAAACTATGTAAGACAGACAATAAAATACATTAATGGAAAGTAATTTTTACAATGAAATCAAATCAATTTCTATAATAACACAGGGGGATTAGTGAGTCCATTGGCTTATAAGAGAATCTCTGAAACATGATTATTAATTAGATAATCTGATTCTCTGCATTTTCAACAAGCCTGTCATGACTCAAAAATGCAAATACTGTATCATACAAAACACATATGAGGTTCACAATCTCAGATAATTGTCAATGTTCCCATAGTTTTGTAGTTCTATAATTGCTGAAACATACAGCAGAGAGTAGAATGTTCTGTGCTTGAGTTCCTGTTCCAACAGCCATATACCTAGAACTAATGATATTGTGCTATTTAGTAGACTCTGTAGTCCCCAGAGGTTCCAAATTGAGCTGTGCCAGAAATGGCATCACAGAAGGGTGGATAGAGTAGGAATAAATACACCACAATTGTTTATCAAAAAAGGAGAAGAATTAGAAGAAACAGAAATTTATGAAAATGTAGAATGGCCTTGGATTTAAAGAGACTGGTGTGGGTCTAGAGAAACAGCAATTGAAAGGAAGACAAGAGAGATGGGTGTTTAGGGTTGCTGAATGAGGAAAACCAGGATACAGAAATAAGATCAGAGAAAGGGACTCAGGCCACAGGAAGGTGTGACACAGTCAGGCATTTCCACAGACTATGGAAGACCCAGCCACATGTACTGGAAGAGAAGACCTAGCAGCAGAGTATCAGGCAGGTCATAGACCATCACTCATTTGAGAAGGATAAAGATTTGCCCAGTGAAGCAGATGTAAGAGGTGATGGCTGGACCTAACCCCCAAAACTACATCTAAGGAACTCCATCTAACATAGTTTCCAAATCCCTAAGAAAATATCTGGAGGCACAGAGAAGAGACAACAAAGGTGTTTCACAACATATAGAAATCTATTCACATATTAATATATTATTATGCTATGTTCTATATTTGATATATCTTATTTTAGACATATATTTAGATATATTTAGATATATCTTAGTTTGTAGACACCAAAGCTTGCTTGGTGTGTCATTAATACCACTTTATTTAAAAATACAACCAACTCTTTGTTTGGTGTATGAATGAATGAATGAGTGAATGAAATACACAAACTCTTTGTAAGAGAAAGACTCTTATTTCTTACTTTGCCTACTTAAAATATCTCCTATGCTGAAGAGATGCTCACCTGATCTTGTCTCCAACCCCTGCCTCCTATCTGCCCTCATGTTACTAGTGCTTCTCTGCCTAGTCTATTCACTAGTGGAAAATCAGGAGCAACAGTGAAGATGTGATAAGGAAAGGCTCCAAGCTGTGAATTTATTGCTACAAGCCATCACAATTTCTGTTGTCTTTTTTCCTTTAAAATTGCAGTGTGCCCCCTATTTCCTGGTCTCCTCTTTTTCTGTATCTTTGTTGTTTTCAAATACTTCTGTAGCAAATACTCGCTAACACACACAGAAGTCTGTTGGAAAGTTTGGATGGAGTCCCAAGGCTGATGATTGATGATTGATGATTTCTGAGAGAAGAGAGTTATGATTGCCATTGTTATTTAGAAACAAGTTATGAAGTTTTATGAATGAAGGTGATGGAGACAACATACTTAAACATGTAGGATCTTATGAAATGTCACACGTAAAACTCCCTTGAGAAACCTACTTGAAGATATAGTATGTTTAACTGAGAAAATAGCTTAAGTGAAGAAATCTACTTTACTATATTTTTCCACAAAAGTATATTTGCATATCAAATTTATATAGAACATTAGAATTAGTTTGAGAGCTGTAGAGATGATGTAGTTAGTAGTATGCTTCCATGTAAAGCTGAGGGCTTAGGTTTGGATCCGCAGCACATACCGAGAAAGCTGACTGGGTGGATGTGTGCTCATTGTCTCAGTTGTAAGGGAGTGGAGGCCCGAGGATGCCTGGAACTGGTTGGACAAAAAGCTTAGCACAGTCACTGAGCTCTGGATTAAGTGAGAGTTTCTTAGGAAATAGCAGGGGAATGACTGACAAAGATGCACAAGTGACCTCTGACGTCCACACATGAATCTGTGTGTGTAACTACACACACACACACACACACACACACACACACACACACACTTCATTTAAATGAACATTTTAACAAAGTCTTAAAACATCTTTTTTTATCAAAGTAGAATCTCCCAGGAATAAGTGGATTCTGAAAATCTCTATTCAGAAGTGTTTCTGCTACTTTTATTCAGCTCCCAGAAATCAAACTTCTAAAGGGTTGGGCGTGTGTGTGTGTGTGTGTGTGTGTGTGTGTGTGTGTGTGTGTGTTTGTGTGTGTGTGTGTGTGTGTGTGTGTGAATGAAAGAAACAGATAGAATCAGTTTGAGAATTTTTTGGTTTTTCGAGACAAGGTTTCTCTGTTTAGCTTTGGAGCCTATCCTGGCACTCGCTCTGGAGACCAGGCTGGCCTCAAACTCATAGAGATCTGCCTGCCTCTGCCTCCTGAGTGCTAGGATTAAAGGCGTGCTCGGCTCCTTGTAGCCACTTCTAAATAATCACTCAGATTGCTTAATATTAATTACAGAATGTTTGGCCTATAGCTCAGGCTTATTACTAACTAGCTCTTACATTTAAATTAACCCATTTCTGTTAATTTATGTATTACCATGTAGTCATGGCTTTTACTGGTCTGCTGGTATCTTGTTTCTTGTTTGGCTGGCTCACGTCTCTCGTGACTCTGCACTCTCTTTTCCTGTATTCAGTTTGGCTTTCCCATCTAGCTATATTCTGCCTTGCTATTGCTAAAGTAGCTTTTCTTATCAAACAATGAGAGCAGCATACAGAAGGGTTCTCCCACAGCAAAACCTGCTTCTAAAGATGAAAAATTTTTGACAGTCAAATTTAATACTGACTTTCATGAATCTGAGTTTGACATATCTTTTGAGTTAGGCTGGGTATGCTTGCAGGGCCATGTGTTTTTGCTATTTGCTTGTTTGCACAATTTGTCCTCTTATGGTATAAATGAAGAAAACCATATTCTCTGCAGCCAATCATGACAGAGTTTAAATGCTGCTGGCAGGGCCTTAATGAGTGGCACAGCCGTTACTTTCATGTCATTCATTCACGGTATCTGCCCTTGCCTTAAGCTGACATCCAAAACCACTCTTGTTATTTTTCTCACAGTGTGACATTTGGACCCAGTCTAAACTCTTTTTATTAAATTTGAGGTTGTACATACACAAAGTCTTATGGCCATGACAGAGTTTAATTCCCCTGGGAGCTCTGTCCAACTGTCTTGGGCAGTGGCATCTTCTCAGTTTAAATTCAAAGATAATAATCTTTTGAATCAGCAGTGAGGAGTTTTCATAGAGCTGCACTCTGAATTTTATGTGATAGTTTAGATCCAGGAAACCCACAAGCAAGAAATCTGAGCCATCACTTGTTTACTTCAGCAAAGATGGCTCATTTTGTGGTTAGTGATTTTGGGACTTTTGTTCCTGGATATAACCTATAATACAGTTATGAGATATATAATGAATTTTTATTATGAAAAGAATGCATGTAAAGAATTAAAGCAATAAAATGAAGAAAATGTGATAAAGGATAAAATTACTCTAAATATCATCAGCAGAAGGAAAAGAAGGGTCTGTAATTTCAGTATTTATTCTAGCTGTGGTAAGCAGAATTTCTGTCTGTGACCATCATGGCCTCCTTGGCATCAAGTTTATATTTCCTTACTCATCTGAGATGTGTGTTTAAGATGTAACTTTGTGGGTATGTATGTATTGGAGAATGAACCTGGCGCCTCACACAAGCCAGGCAAACAGATCCATATGTCCAGCATCTGCTTTATATTGAAATGTTTCTATAGTCTGTCAAGATGACATTAAATAAAGTATAGGCAAATAACTAATTAAATACTTCACCTTATTTTACATAAGTATTTTTAAAAGTATATGGAAGAAAATATACTAATGTCTTAACTATACTGTTTCTAGATTATAGATTAAAAATGGTAATTTATTTCACAGCAATATAAAGTCAAAACACAAAATCTTGCTCTTTTTACAGAAGCTTAGGCTTGCCAGCGAACATCAGGTTCATTTTCTCGAGTTTATCAATGTAAATATGTCTATTCAAAATTTATTCCCTCAGCCTTATTATAAATATTTTATTCCTTTCATTTTAGAGAAATTGTCAACCCTTTATGCTTCATTTTTATTTAGTTGAAAATGATTATTTAGTATTTAAT